CCCCGCCACTCCCCTTCCCCTCCCCCCTCCCCTCCCCCCGGAAGCCCGGCATGAAACATTCTTCGGACGGCGATATCAAGACATGGCTAAAAAATACAGGTGAAATTTTGGAACGACGCATCGAAACTCATAGTTTAAACACTCCGATATCATCACCGGTCTCTTCCCACGAATCATCACATTAATAATGAAACGACACATCCATAAACATTTTTTAAGGCAAAATAGAACAAAACCCCCTCTCGTATTCATCCAGAATTTGAAGGAGCCAGTGGCGTGGAGGAGAGCAGAGGGGGAGGGGCGATAGGGTTCGTCCCAGTATAATGTGTACCGAAGTAGATGAGACATTTAAAGTGAACATTGGCAACAATGATGGGTGCGCTTAAACCGCCCCTTTTCCTCTATTATATTTTAATATTATTTTTTACAGGGAAGTGAATCGACGGCGCAAACCATCTGTTTTGTTATGTTAATGCTAGCTATTCATCCCGAATATCAAGTGAGTCAGTAAAACTTATCTAATTTTGTATATACCTCGAAATAGATAAGGATAAGCAAACGGGACCTATCTTAATGTGGTATTTCCAAAAACAGCGTATCTGTTCGAGGATTAAGAATATTTAATCGTTTAAAGTCTGTAAATAAGTTGTATAGTATGTTGAAAAGCGAAAAAAAGGGGCTACAGAAGGATTTAAAATACTCAAGCCCCCTCCTTCTTGCCGTCATATATATATTACATTACATTCATTTGTTAAAATCAAATGATCTCCCTTCAGATATGTTAGATGTACGCACTCGATGAAGTCTATGGACGATACGAAATCCTGAAATGTGGATTCACGAGAGCTTCTTTACAAAACGAATTCGAAAATATGAAGAAATGATCGATCCCCATTATAGCTTCATCTCCACACATCTATTCATGCGCAAATTATGGCACGCTCCGGCAACAAGGTTCTGTGATGAAATAATTTTTGTCTCCAGAGTCTCCAAAATGTATGCATTATAGTGATCGCGCAAAGCGCAAAAGCGCGTCGTTATGGACGCGCAAAGCGCGTCCATAACGACTAGTACAAGTGGATTGCACTTTGCAAAAAGGAACCAGAAGCATTGCCATGTTGCTAAGATTGTGCGACTTCACCCTCTGCAATAAAATTACTGTAATCATGCAAAAATATGAAATTTACATGGTAATTTTGGTCTTAAATTTACAGTTTTTAGCGTGTGAAATAGAAAATGTTTAAAGATGACCAGATTTTTCTTCCAAGACAAGAGAAGTTGCACAATCTTAGCAACATTGAAATGCTCTTGGTTCCTTTTTGCAAAATGCAGTCCAAGTATGATAATATTAATTTGAATGTTGAATGAGATCCACCTTTTTAAACATTTTCAAAATCCAAATGTTTTATTCTTCATTTTTTGCATTGTAGGAGAAAATTTTCGAAGAGCAGTACAATATTTTTGGAGACGCAGATAGACCTGTTACACAGGATGATCAAGATAAAATGGAATATTTGGAACAGGTTATTAAGGAAACTCTTCGCTTGTTTCCTGTGGCTCCTCTTTTTGTGAGATATGCAGAAGAGGATACAAAATTAAGTGAGTAGTCAGAGTAGTGGCTTTTAAAACCTAATGCACTGAAAAAAAAGTATAATAATTTATACCGAGAAGTAGGTACGGTGCACGTGCACAGTAACACAGTCACACCTACCGTACTCTCCATCTTGCGAATCCCGGAGTGCGGTTGCGTAAGCCGGCGCGGCTTATGTCTCAAGGAGGCAGTTCAGTGCTGTGTGCTCGCTGTAATTTGCAAATTTTACCAAAACCATGGTCAGGCCCGCCACATCCCATCTCGGGCCCTGGTACCAGTTTTAAGGTCCGGGCTCCAAACAGAGAGGAGGGAGGGGTCCGAGGGGCATCCCCCGAGAAATTTTAGAGTTTATACGACTAATCGGACGCATTTTGAAGCTTCCATAAAGAATTTTTCCATTTATTTCTGCGGGATAATTATGTTTGTTTTTTTTTTGGTTTTTTTTTGTTTTTTTTTTATATACTTTCAGCACAAAATACTTGCGAATTGTTGCGTTCAAAACATCTGGAAAATGTTTATTTTTTTTTGGGGGGGGGGGAGCATATGATGCAATTTCCAGTTCTGAGAGGGCCAGGCCCCCCCAGAGTCCCCCTTCGTTTGTCTATGGCAAGGGAGTTGAGCCATTGAAGTCAAGGATGCCCAGACTGGAGACTCTCAGCATCTGACGACGGAAGAAAATGAAACGCAGTTACTAAAAATATCCCTCTGTACTGAAAATCTTGAAAATAGGTTGAAATTTTCCAAGAAGTATACTTCTTTGAAAATTTAAGAGGAATTCTTCAGTGCCCCAGCTTTGATCTCTCCGGAATGCGTGAGGTATCACGCCGCATTTGAAGGCGTTTTCAAAACAGCCAGTTCCGATATCTGAATAATCGTTTTGCATAGTTCATAGTATTATGTTTCCATTTCTAACCACTTGTTTACTTATAATCCTCCTTTCAAAATTACCCATTTGTGATTACAATTCTAGCTGAAGCGCACATCAGCTATGCATTCACCACTGCAAAAATTTCAGAGGAAATCGACAAGCCCAGCTGCCCAGCGTGCATGAATGCTATTTCAATTGCAATCTTCCGTCGCATTTCTAAGGCGCAATGATACAACTATTTGAACTCTCCGGGTTGCGTGAGGTATTACGCCGCATTTGAAGGCGTTTTCAAAACAGCCAAGTTCCGTTATCTGAACAATCGTTTTGCATAGTTCATATTATTTTGTTTCCGTTTCTAACCACTTGTTTAATTATAATCCTCCTATAAAAACCACCCATTTGCTATATACAATTCTAGCTGGAGCGCACTTCAGCAATGCATTCACCACTGCAAAATTGTCAAAGGAAATCGACAAGCCCAGCGTGCATTAAGGCTATTTCAATTGCAATCTTCCGTCGCATTTCTAAGGCGCAATGCTACACTCCATGCACGCTGGGCTTGTCGATTTCCTCTGAAATTTTTGCAGTGGTGAATGCATAGCTGATGTGCGCTTCAGCTAGAATTGTATTTACAAATGGGTAATTTTTATAGGGGATTATAAATAAACAAGTGGTTAGAAATGAAAACAAAATAATATGAACGACGCAAAACGATTGTTCAGATATCGGAACTGGCTGTTTTGAAAACGCCTTCAAATGCGGCGTGATACCTCACGCATTCCGGAGAGTTCAAATAGTTGTATCATTGCGCCGTAAGAATTTGACGGAAGATTTTATTAGTGGAAATAGCCTCCATGCACGCTGGGCGTGTCGATTTCCTTTGACATTTTTCCAGTGGTGAATGCATAGCTGAAGTGCGCTCCAGCTAAAATTGTATTTAGCAAATGGGTAGTTTTTCTACGAGGATTAATAGATAGAAAGTATTCTGCAAGTTGATGGATATTTTTCCCGAATACTATTTTGGTTCTACATTTGGAAGCAGATCAAAAATAATCTGCTTTTCAGAGGTTGCGTTACAAAAGGCTGTTTTAAAATACTCAATGGCATTTTGAAACGGTTCGAAAGGTCAACAAATATTTTTATAAGCACACTCTATCACGAGAGAGTATTTTGCAAGTCGATCAGTCGATCAGATGTAGTGTAGTCCTCTCACTCAAGAAGATAAATGCGCGCTTTAGACAACACTGGTGTGTTGTTGGTTAACCGCTCGTTTAAACTTACAACATTTTTCCTCTTATCAAAAACCTTCGCATGTTCAAATTCTTTCATTAACGGTCACATTAGTCTTATAATCGATAAGCTTTCTATGTTACATAAAACTACCTTTCCTGGAGCCGCTCTCCAGCGGGAGTGCGCTGGACTTTTTTTTTTTTTTTTTTTTTTGAATTTATAGTAATTTTATTAATTCTCTTACATATTTGAAATATAGTCAGCAGTGACTATACTCGAAAATTGGAAGAAAGTGCAATAAAGATACAAGTAGTGCAGTTATTATAGATGTACATGGGCTCTTAACCTAGTTATACTAATTTAGCTTATTTACTAGTTATCTTTATCTTACATACGATTAGGATTATTACGATAATAATCTAATTTTAAAGTATACAATTACTATTCCCGGAACCATCATCAGAGACAGTACATCGGGATTTGAGATTGGTTGGGCTATTATTTCCATTTAGAGCAGTGCGCTGGAGTTACCGCTTGTTTTTTCCTCGGACCCGTTTATCTGTCTGTGAGCCGTTATAGCGTCAAACCCTGATGGTCTTTTACCAAAAAAATCGAATGAACTGCTAATTGGAAACCCTTGAGGACATTTTCCTGTCAAAAGCGTATTATTCCATTTGATAGAAACTTCATATAAACTTTTCTACGCTCGGAGGACTCAAATCTAGAAGCTTTTTTCCCGACAAGACGTTTTAGAAAATGAGGGTCTTGCGCTGAAAGTGCAATCCGTGATGAGCCTCGTGACTCATCATACCATGTGCTAACCTTGGTCCCTGCAGAAATCCAACTTAAATCACTGCAGTATTAGCCAAGGGACGTATCCATGTAAACCCCCCCCCCCCCCCCNCCCCCGTGTAATGTATACGTTTATAGTTCAATTAAACCAATGCTACACTGAAAAAAAAATCTCCGTGTACTTACTGAGAAAAGCGTAAAATTACCAAGAATTCACGGTTCTATTTGATCCCAGTTTTCTCTTGGTAAAATTACCATTTATGGATTACCGAGAAACTCGGTAAAATTATTGAACTTTCTCGGTAATTTTACTGGACCTTGGTAAAAACGCCAATATTTTTTATCGACTCTGTTAGAATTACCGAGATAAAATGGCAAAGTTACCGGGAATTGATTACTAATAAAAGTGGTATTCTTACCTGAAAAAACAGTAAAAATACCGGTCTTCAGGTAAGCTTACCAGTCTGTCTTGGTAAAATCACCAATAATTGGTAAAAAAAGTGAGATGGTAACGGTACCAACGGACCTTGGTAAAAATGCCGAGAATTTTTTTTTTCAGTGTAGGTGAATACGATGAGGCAGAGGCACATAACCTGGTTCTTTAGGCCATTTTCCATTGTCGTCGTGTAGTTGAAAGACTTTGTGTAGTCGTGGCTACTTATGTGCCTGACCTTATCTGGTGGCCCACCAATGTATACATTCAGCAGAGGAAGCCATATTTTGAGCTTCTTGAGGACAGGTTGCCATGTATCAACAATTGAAAATGATTGACAATAACTGTTTTCAGCACAAAATTACGTTTTGCCAGCTGGTGCAACTGCGGTGATTTATCCATTCTTCACGCATTATGATCCAGAACTTTGGCCTGAGCCCAATGTATTCAACCCGGATAATTTTACGGCTGAAAAAAAGGCGAATAGACACAAGTATGCTTTCATACCGTTTAGCGGTGGTCCTAGAGGCTGTATTGGTAAGTCTGCAAAAAAAGGAACATTGCAAACTTTAGAGGACATTGTTTTCTGGTCTTTATTTATTTATTTCATAATATATTTATTCATATGTTAGAAAGATTTGTAATTATTTTAAAGTTCTCTTGCCATGCCGACACAAGAGTTCAAAAAGCCTCTTTCCAGATGTCAAATTAAGGCTACCGATAAAATGTTCATGAAATGAAAAAGTGTCACGAGTAATAAGCAGAATGGAAGTAATCTACTGATTTTGAAGAATAAATCAAACACAATACCAATGAGAGATTTCTAAAGGCTGTTGACTAAAAAATAGTATGGAAGCTGGATATATCATTTCCTGATGAATCCTGCGTATGAGACCAAGCGCATATCTATGTTTGTTTGTGCGAAAGAGTTAAAGAGAAGTCTAGTCAAAAAACACCGACCTACGGTCAGCTCAGAAATATGTGGTTCCGCACTTTGGTCATCGATATTGGATAAAAAGTCAAAAGTATGAGTATCGTACATAACGTAATAACGTACATGTCGTACTTAACGTATGTATTCATACAGCGAGAAAACCTGATGTGCATATAGCCCTTCGATTGTATTCAAGTGCAATTGTTCTGTCTATGAATAATTACGTTTAAATGAAATATAGTGCGTCTTCTTTCCAACCATCCTAACGCCTTTTCCCATAAATTCTATTCTTGTTTACAGGTAAACAATTTTCAATGCTAGCCATGAAGACAACACTATCCATCTTCATACGGCAGTTTCGAGTTAGCACAACTAAAAAACTTGAAGATGTCGACGTTTATATGGACGTGGTGCTTAGATGTAAAGGTGGTTGGAATATGAAATTTGAACAAAGAATAAATCAGAAATCCTAAAAGTGTCCGTTTTTGTTTATTGATTTCTCTTCCTTGCACTCCTTAATGACTAACTGTCCTAAAGACACTTAAAGCTAACATTAAAACAGTGGCGGCACGTATTAAGGGGAGAAAGGGGGCTGTCCCTCCCCAAAAGCCAAAAAAAGTATGGATTCTAATTGCAAAATAGATGTGTTTAAATAAAAAGGAGCTATACAGCCATAGGCGGTCCTACGGGGGTGCCAGTGGCAGTGAGTGCCGGGCACCCCTAAGCAAAAATTAAGTACGGTTATCGGAACCGTGAAAGAGGCTTTTGGGCAAGTAGAAACCATGGGCGGAACTAGGATTTTTTTGTGTGGGGGGAGGGGGCACAGAAGGATGTATGACTTGGGCTATGGGGGGTCTGGAGGGACTTCCCCAGCTGCACGGGGGGTTCGAGGGACCTCCCTCGGAAAATTTTTGAAAATTAGAACGTCTTGGGAGCAATTTTGAGCCATTCTCAATGACAAATTAAATGGAATTACATATTACAGATGACAGAAATTTTGCTGGATTGTTTTTAAAAATATCATATCTTACTGTGGGTTTTAATTGGACCGAGTTTAACAGAAAGGAACCAAGCCACATCAGCTATTGCCAAATTTAACTGGACAATTAAATTTTTTACGATAGAATTTTTGTGCGGATTCCTTTAAAATTTTTAGAGGATTTGCCTCAAACTATGGGGAATTTTCACTGTTTGCACAAAAATCCGCACAACCGTTTTCATGTGAAAAATTAAATCGTTCAATTAAATTTGGCAATAGCTGATGTGGCTTGGTTCCTTTCTGTTTAACTCGGTCCAATTGAATATATCTTAATTTGAATCGCATGAAAACAAGTATTGCGCTAAAACGCACGAAAAAACGCAACCGGATACAGTCAAACTGCATTCCATGTTTCTTACTCGGAGGAGGAAGCTGCTCTCTTTGCAAGTAATTTTCATTTTTCTGACATCTTTGATCGATTACGTTAGGATTCAGCGCATATTAATTACATTCCATATGCCTTTTACCTCAAAGTTAATTAGTAGCTTGGGTCCTTGACATTTTTGGAAGGAGCCGAGCAGCATTGCCTTTAAATTTGTAAATTTTGAAAATTTCACACTTTTTAAACACGTAGATATTATTGGAGTTGGATTCTACAGTACTTGAACTTCAAAATAACCCATTCTCAGGATTCATCGGGGGTCCCTTCATGACAAATAATTTTGGCTACCTTCCATGTCTCTTAGAGACAAATTCTTAAGGAATTCGGGGCCTTTTAGTGATAAAAAAGGATAAGAAAATACAACATTACGGGGAAAAAACGATGGCTCGAAAAAAAGTCGCCACGGGGGCCCCATCGGAACCTCCGCGGCAAATTCTTAGGGGGCGATCGCCTCCCCGCCCCCCATGGCCAGTCCGCCCCTGGCGGCACAGGAAAGCCGAAAAACCAAGCGGGGACGCTACTTCAATATTAAACTTCCATCGCCTTGCCAAGGCGCAGGGATACAACTATTTGAACTCTCCGGAACGCGAGAGGTATGACGCTTCAATTGAAGGCGTTTACGAATCTTATATATTTACATGACGAGATTTTCCAAAAGTTTTTGCATTATATTGTAGAGATGAGTTTCTTTTATTATTTAGTGATAATATTCTTGCTTCTTAATTTTTAATTATTCTGCAACAATTATCTTTTTGCGAAACACAATCCTGGCTTTAGCGCCCTTAAACTCCGACCTTAACGGTCAAGACTGCAGTAGCGGCACAGGAAAACCAAAAAAAAAAACGCAAGGACGCTACTTCAACATTAAACTTCCATCGCCTTGCTAAGGCGCAGGGATACAACTATTTGAACTCCCCGGAACGCGTGCGGTATCACGCTTCAATTGAAGGCGTCTACGAATCTTATGTATTTACATGACAAGATTTTCCAATTTGTTTTGCATTATATTGTAGATTTTAGTTCCTTTTATTATTTAATTAAATTACTGCTCCTGCTTAATTGTTAATTATTCTGCAAAAATAATCTGTTTGCGAAATTCAATCCTGGCTTTAGCGCCCTTAAACTCCGGCCTTAACGGTCGAAACTGCAGTAGCGGCACAGGAAAGCCGAAACACCAAACGGGGACGATACTTCTTTATTACCCTTCCATCGCCTTGCTAAGGCGCGGGGATACGACTATTATAACTCCTTGCGAGAGTTTTACGAGCCAAAAACAAACTTGATATTCGGCTTATAGAGGCACGTGAGGGGGAATCGCAGCTCTAAACGCCCTTGTGAGACTTTTAGGCTCAACTTCGCCAATTCCATATTATTAAAATGTTTCTTGTATGTTCCAAAGTGTTCCGGTCCTGTTAACTAAGCAGCATTTATGACGAAGACCGACGCATTTTTCCTCTGACTGAAATAATTTTTCCAAAAAGAGTGAGCTTTTGGCAGACATTGTAACATTTCAGGTTGGGACTGAAAGCAGGCATTGTAAGCATTGTAAGATCTATGATACACTTTTTCTGAGTATAGGAGCCTCACCCTAAATTTAATAAAACTTCATTCAGAAGTTAGAACTGAAGAATTTGGACGAATAGACAGAGTGCGGATCCATTTCTTGAGATTAATGTATTCTATCAATATTTCACGTAGCATATAATTTGAGCAATGAAAATTATTGAGAGTGACTCCTAACCAAGATGTAAAAATTTTTTTATGCAAGAGTTCAAACCTCCCGCTCATGAGAAAACCATGATCTACTTGAGTTAAACCATTCATTAAACGTCATCCCTGACATTCTCTTGCGAGGTGCTAGAATATGATAAGTTCAATCTCGGCGCCTCGGCTCAGCTGTCGCAAGTATTCACACTCTGAACAAGGCAGAATGAGGAAGAAACACTGTTTGATCACGAAGTCTGACATAGCTCCTATAGTGAGCGATTTGATCACAGACTCTAGTTTTTCTTGCAAGTGGAAAATTCGAATTTAGCGTTGCTAGATCTTGTTAAAAGTTGATTTTAATCATTTCGTCGCGTGAGTCGCGTTTAAAACATAACATTTTCAGGAGAAAACGTATGCCTGGGTGCTCAAATTTGTAACTCACCTAGTGATTCACTATAATTTATGGCGCTGCCTGACAATGCTGTCCAACGTAAAAAATCAAAGACTAAAATAAACTCCCTATGATTTAGAAACGAATTGTTGAATTTTGTTACATCCAATTCAATAACTCGTCAAACCTTTCTTAGGAAGCGAGGAAACTACCTTGAGTGCACTCAAAGAAGAGAAAGTAATAATCAAAGGTTCCCGCGCTGATAAAACCCAATTTTCCACGAAAACGATAAAAAAGTGAAGATACTCTACAAAAAAAGAACCAGTTGACCTCTCTATGGTCAGGTCGTATTTTCAATAATTGATTAGCAAAATTGAAAGTTTATCGAGTCGAGAATGCGAACCGTATCAACCGATAGTGCGATTATTCGGAATGTGCGTTGATGCCTTAAAAATATTTATGTTTATATAAATAAGAAGTTTTACGAGAAAGTTTTTTGCTCACTATCATTCCATGTTTAAGTGATCGGACGTTCTATTCATCTCTCGCGTTATGCAGTTTCCTATTTATTTATAATTTACCGACTTCACACTTTGAAACGTATCTATCAAACATTTGGCCTGCAACTAATAAATGGAAGATCAGTTAAAGTGTACCAGTGTATAGCTAGCTTAAAATATAAATAATACTTTTTTGCATCAACGCATCGCCAATCATCAATTTTAGTCCAGACTTGCGATACGTTGCGTTTGATTGTGCGTTTATTCGTGTGCAATGGAAATATTAATCCCTGGACTGTCTGACGTCACTCGGGCACTGTTGAGTATCCTATGCATCTGCTTGATCCTGATATGGGGCTTTTATAAATGGAATCGGAGGCATCAGGAGCTACTTGCTTCAAAGTTCCCTGGACCGACAGCTCTGCCTATCATCGGCAACGCGCTCACTTTTTTTAACAAAAGTCACAATGGTAGGTGACTTTTTTGGAGTAAAATAGTAACGTTATAATCTTTAACAACTGCCCGGTATTTCAGCGTAGACTCCCTTTATACTGAGAGTCAAGACAACACCCCTCATGGAGTCACAAACGGGAATAATGATTACAGAATTTGAACGTTTTTCGTAATCTTTGATCGGCCCATTCTCGAATTCCTTTCTTCGTTCCTTCCCTCATTCCGTTTGTTCCTTGCCGAACCCGTAATTCCCCGGTCCATTCCAGATTATAATCTTTGCAGTCGGTGAAACTGTATTCTTTATTCCCTTTTGTGACACTGTGAAGGCCTAAAATACGGGAACCAATCAGAAATGGATTCACATTGTCTTGACTCTCAGTATGAATGGACTCTAGTTCAGCGTTCCGCACACGGTTAAGGTGATTCAATGGACGCCATATTTTGTGTCAGAACGGCATGCGATATATCGCATCAATTGGTTCCATTTTTTCAGCTACTCGTCATTTTCCTCCAATTTTGAGATCGCAATTCTGTTGTCAGGAGACTAAACACTCACTTACCAATTTTAAGAAAGAAATTCAACGTAATTAAGGCGTGGTTTTTTGGTGAGAAAATAACGCACTCGAGTGCAGTTTCGATATCAGTATCGAATTCGATGTTTTCTCTGTAAAAAAACCACACCTTTATTACGTTGAATTTCTTTATTAAAATTGGTAACTGAGTGTTTAGTCTCCTGACAACAGAATTGCAATCTCAAAATTGGAGAAAAATGACGAGTAGCTGAAAAAATGGAACCAATGGATGCGATATATTGCATGCCGTTCTGACACATATGGCGTCCATCGAATCACCTTAAAAGTAATTAGGGTTCCGAAAACAGGGCTGTACCGAAGATTCGAGCTGGAATCGTATTTTTGCCGTCACGTCTCAGATGCAAGAATATAATTCGTATATTGAAAATTGGCGATTACTGTACCTAAAAGAAATGAAAAGAAATAAAAAAGAAGCAGGAAAGTCCAACACGAGGTGTTGCATAAGCGCAGCATGATCATGAATAATTCTTATTGAACGGACGATGTGTGGGAGGAAAAGAAAGTTTTATCGATGAGTGAAAACTTGTGCTAATTAATAAAAGGAAGGTATGCAGTATATGGCGTAAAAAATAAAGCGATTGGGATTGAACCATGAAAACGTTTTTATTAATAAACTATTTATACAAAAAATCCTGCATAGTTATGAAGAATTTAGTCTAGATACGTGTCACCTGTAATGATAACTATACGTACAATCAGAGGCGCTCAAATCAAGGCATTGAACAATCAGAGGCCCTTCAATAAAAGGTGATTTTTTCGTTCTACTTGCACGTATAATTTTCAGAAAACATTCAAACACCACTTTTGGATCCCAGTAAATCCTTAATTGCTTAATGATAGAGCAATTTCAACTAATTAATTAATGAATAGTCAACTCATTTTGGTATGGCAAGGATTAGATAGATCACAAGTTGCACAGATTTCCTTACATATTCATAGGAATAATAGCTACAGCCGAACATTAATACTTCCGATTTCAGGATGCGCGTGATCAATCCACAAATTGTATTTCACAATATCATGATCTGTTGAACTACATGTTGCAATCAGAAACTATAACTTCAACAATTTTCGGCTTATTTTAGAAACAACAGATGTGCGATTAGTCTCTCTACACACATAGGTGCTTATACGAATGAGTCAGAAATTTCAGTTTCTTAGTCCAAAATTACGTCCAGCTATCTTTCTGTTTTTTTGTTTCTTTGTCTTCTTAAGCCTATAGTGAAGTTATCAAACTTCTGAGAGTTGTGTGTTTGTTTTAAAATTTGTTATCTTAAAATTTCCCCAACTTTGTATTTTGTTGACAATAGTAGGCAAAAATAATTTTACTTGTAACAAGAAGAAATGCTTTCCTCTTCCGCAAAAAAAAAATAAGTCAAACTTTCGTTGGAATTTTCTTTCTGATGATGGATTTCAATTTTGCTCGGTGTATTTAGCTGCCTTGTGGGGCTCAATCATAAGTATACGTTCCAATGAGCTGTGTAATTGGCACATTCTCGAAAACCCTAATGAAAAATTGGACATGGTCAGCAGTGGAACATTGTTGTCACCAATCACTGTCACCGTTGTGAACGGAATCGTTGAAAGATCCCTTATGATCTTCCGGTGCTACAATATTTCCCATGAGTCCGGTCTTTTTTTTTCTTTTTTTTTAAGTTTTTCTTAACAAGGATGTAAAAATTTTGCATTAGATACAACGATATTGTGTGTATGGGTGATATTTGAAGAATTATCAAGGATGTTAATGCTGATCGATGGTATATAAGGTGCCCTTGATTTTGTTAATTTTTCAGACCTATTGCGGATCGTTACTGCACAGTGTGAAGAGTATGGATCACCAAATAAATTCTGGCTTGGTAGTAGACTTCTTGTTGTCATCACAAAACCAGAGGATATCCAGGTAAAAAATACATGAAATTGGTGATCATCATGAATTGGTGAAATATTTAAAGAGTCTTTATTTAGTATTTTTAAAAATAATATGTTTACCCAAAATATTATAAAAATATTTTCACAGTATTGACACAGTATTTCACAGTATTTTAAAGTATTTGCACAATATTTATGCCAAAAGGAAATATGGTGTACACTTTTAACATTGGCTCAATATTTAACCAATATTGGCCCAATGTTTGCCTAAATATCAAAGCAATTTTCTTTAAATATTGGCTAAATATTTCTGTCTTATCTGGGCCCCTCATATTTCTGAATAGAAATTTGCCACACATACATTAGAGTCGCTTTCAGAGCGCTCTGGCGCTCTCCGACGCCTGACCGTCACAATACTTTGTCCTCCCACAACCGTTCAGGGAGTTGGCACTCCCGTATTTCATCCAAAACTCCCTGTCGCCGCCCTTTCACATCCTCTTATCCAGGCGTCCTCTTTATCTCCTCCCAGAAAAAGCCCAATCAAGCATCTCCTTTGGCAGCCTCTCTTCCGTCTCTTTGTCAACATGACCATACCAGACAAGACCGGAAATTTGTCATAATCTGATACTATTTCTTTTTGTTGCATTCTGTAGATTATTTTAAACAGTTCGAAGACATTAGACAAAGGTGACGTTTATAAGATTTTTGAGCCAGTGGTAGGCGCCGGTCTGGTAATAGCACCAGGTACGTAAATACAGGTTCAAAAAAATTATTTTACAATACTGCTTAAAAAAAACTCATCTGCAATTTGATGTACCTACTCGGCATTTGGTTTTGACAAAGTTTTAATTTAAAGATAGAATAGAATGTGTAGTAATAAACAAGGCATGTTACACCCTTGCTCGCACACCACTCTTTAAACCACGGAATTTCTCTTTTCAAAAATGAGAAATAAGTCGATTCTATAGTCAAGAAGTTTTGAGCTAAATCGACGGGGTAAGTTCGCAACCACGCGTCTCGGTTTGCGGCGTTGCAGACTTGTCGTCCTAGATCATTTTTTAAATTGGAAATTACTCTACGATAATGGAGATGGTTCATACAGGGCCGGATCAAGGGGGTGGCCACATAGGCCGCGGCCCATGACGGCGAAATTAGGGTGCGACAAATTTTGCAATTTTTTTAAGTGCAGGTCCAAAAAAATCGGATTCAGAATAAAATTACAAACAAGCAAACCTGACAAAATTTCCCATTTCCTGAGAATTCATTAATTTCTAATTTTGTCGTATTTCGGTAATGCAAAAGACTGCGCACCTTTAATTAGTTGAGTTAAGAGAGGAACCAAACACGTAATTTGGCCTGGAGCGGCGCGGCGCAGAGAGAAATGATGACGAGGACTTGAGATGAAAAAGAGAGACCCTCGGCGCGACGGTCGGCATGTAACACATATTCGCGCCTACAAGACTGCATGAATACTTCACGCATTGCGTCAAACACAGTACGATCAACAGCGGTAGTGCTAGTAGTGTTGACAGGGCGAGGGCTTACGCAAAAAATGTGTCCAACAGGAGTGAACGCGTCTTATGCACCCTTCTCCCTCCGTCACGTTCACTTGATGGTTTTTATTAATGTTTCAAAATGAATGAGAAGAGGGCGGCAAAATGCAGGCGGCTCATGGGCGGCAAGTAGGTAAATCCGGCCATGGTTGCATGTGTGAGGAATTTGCGATTTGACTGTTGATTCTTATGTAAAAGTTCGCGAGAAACACCATAGTGCCACTGGTTTTCTCTGAAATCATCTCCCAAGCTCAAAAAAGCTCTGAAGTTGAGGCCAAAATGGAGAGGATATCCCACGCTATCCTGAGAGTCCACCTCTACATCAAGACAAACTCTCCATGCAACGGATTGTTACCACGGATTGATCTCCATGATACGGAGCAAATACATTAGCTGTGAATTCAGTTTTAGAGTCCCCAAATAAAGTGGCAATCCTGTCAATGTATTCGCTCCCTATCTTTGCATGGACAGTACGTTTTGATGTAGAGTTGGACTCTCAGAATAGCGTGGGATATTTCCTTTATTTTGGTCTCAACTTGAGAGCTTTCTTTTAACTTGGGACTTAATTTCAGAGGAAACCAGTGGCCACATCTTGTTTTTCGCAAACTTTTACATAAAAATCAACAGTCAAATCGCAAATACCTCACGCATGCAACATCTTTATTCTTATAAACTGCCTCGATTGTTCTTTTCTATGTCGAACAGAACGAGTCAAGAACAACACAAGTCAGAACACACACAAGTCATATAAGTCAGTTGTTCTGTGTCAGAACAAGTCTGTGTGTGCAGAGTTTTCACTCTGCAAAAATTTCGAGGAATGAAGCAGACTTGTTATCCTTTAAAAAACAAAATAGGAGCCGAGATTTTCAAACATCGCAAACGAGATACGTGGTTGCGGACTAACATCGTCGAATGTTTTATCCACTATCTTTCATATGTTCCGTACGTAATTATGCTTACAATTCAGTTGCAAATAGACTTCTGAGTCAAATTTTAACTTTCGTGATCAACATCAATTGAATTCGATTTTGTCAGACAAGAAAAAGAATCCATAAATATGTTTTTAATAAACTACAAAAAAGGAGTGCTGTACAAAAACACGTCGTAATGGGAGCCAATCGAAATGACTCTACATCCTCTGTTTATTCTTTGATTTTAGTCGAAAAATGGAAGAAAACTCGAAAAATTCTTACGCCACCTTTTTCCCCGAAAAATATCACAAGATTTGTGCCTGTAATGAGGGAAAGAGCAACAATCATCTTACGAAAAATGCAACAGCATTGTGGTAGTGGTGTTGAAGTAGATTTTTATCCGTACTTCTTCACGGCTTCATTTGACACACTCTGTGGTGAGCTACTAAATTTACGCCAGTAATTTCCTCTATTTTAATAATGTTAAAAAATATTAAAAAGCATTTGGCAACGAAAACTAAATGGGGAAGCTGTAAGGTCTGAATGAATGATTTATCTAGCCGCCGATGCAGCCTACTCAAATATGCGCGCAATAGCATGGCGTGCTTAATATCGTTAGGTAGAGAGAGGAAGATTTTCTCTTGTTCCAACAAGAAATTCCAGTCGTAGCATATTTGACCGAGATCTTCATTGGTCTGATAGGAAATTTTTCTTGGTAAATTTTGAACTGGTTTCAAAAAAATTCACCTAAAATTTTTGTTCGTACTCCGATTCGATCCCAAGAAGTTTAGTTTTTTTGGAATTTTTCATGAGATAACAGATGAGCTTGAGAATGTCCTGCACCTAATAAAATAATTTTTACCGACCATTAATAAGTAACATAAAAAATCAATTCTAGAGGGAAAAACAGCTTCCTCACATTGAAAAAAAAATTGCTAAAATACGGTGACAAATCACCAAATTAGTAAAATCGACCCGGTGTTCTTAATCTATTTTGATGAGTTGTCACCTTTTTTCACTATTTCATGTGTTGATTTTAGCAGTTTTTTTTCCGTGCAGGGCCTAGAAACGGAAAGTGAGGTTTAATATCTCAAAAACGTGCATGCTATGGAAACATGTAATTTAAATTAAAATTCCAAAACATTTAATCGCATGGAGATAACTGTTGCGTTTCTTTTTCAGAAGCATCTTTTGGGTTGACTCTCAGCTGGGCCGAAGTCGAAATTGGGCAGAAATTATATTTAGGTGAGAATCTGGCATCTATAAAGTAATTTCATTTATTTTGTTTCTATTAACATAAAATCAAGAATTTCTCAAAATACATCAAAGCGAGAGAAAAAAATACTCTCAACTCAATAATTCTCAAATATTTTAATTCTGATCATGAAGGCACCTACTTTAATATTTGGAGAGAGTATATTTTTGTTCTCCACAACATATAAAATTATTGTTGATTATGAAGGTCACCATCTCAGATAAGTCAAGTAATGTATTTTGTTAGTAGTCCGCCCCGTCAATTTTTTACGCTTTACCAACATTGAGTCACCAAAGGAAGCAATCAGATATGGGCTGATTAGGGAAAGTATGTTGATAAATTTTCAAGAATTCATATTCAACCCACGTTGTGTGTCTGATAAGCGTGTAATAATATGTTCGTGGAGCGTACTCCTTTTCCCGTCCCTGGCTGGGGCGACGGTAAAGTCACCGCAAAACTATATGACTTTGCGCAATTAATTATTCTTGACTCTGCTCGGTTTTAATGATACTTAAAGGGCATTTATTACAACATTTCAGAGACTCGGACGATGTTAAATTTTTCACTGATTTAAAAAAAAAAACGGATTAAAACGAACTAAAATATTCATCAAAACCAAAAATTATTTCATTCTAAAAGTAAAGTATACCTCATATCGTAATTTTTGAGGGGAAAAATAAAACTAACACTGATAGGAGGTAAAAACAAGCAGTAAGCTCCAACGCATTCGCGTCGGAAAGCGGCTCTGGCGACGGTAGTTGTATAGTCAAGAATGAGGGCCTAGACACATTTTGTCATTGATGTACAATCCGACAACTGTCGATTCATGTTTTGTAACTTAGCAGATTTACAAAGCCGGTGTATAAATGTGTATTGGCCCTTGATATGCAGAATGCATGGCACTATCACTTGTTGTATACTTTTAATTTTGAAGGCTCTAGTGATCATCTTCTTTTTTTGTCAAATAACTAGTTTGTGCAACAAGAAGACTGAAACTGACTCTAACTGAAATTTTGTCTTTTTAGATATTTGGTTATTTTGTATTTATTAGATTGTATATTTTCACAGCCCTGTGATAAGAAACTTTGGAATGCATGGTTCGCAAAACTAATCGGAACTTTATGAATAAATTGCTCCATTTAAAAATCAAAACAATATCGAATTGCGATATATTACACGGATAAGATAGGGCTATGCAACGGGCTATGTCCTGTCGTAAGCGGCGACATAGAGTCGATGTCATTTCAATAATCGCCCCAATGGCCACGATAGTTGTTTAACGTTTACGGTTTCCTTGGTAACCTTTGTTTGC